GTAGCCCTGCCTGGCGTCCTGCCGCCGGTTCCTCATCAGCGCCTTGTACTCGCCCACGCGGAGCCTCTTCCCCTCCACGATGCAGGTGCGTTTGGGTCGGGGTTTGTACTTGTAGTCGGGGTATTTCTCCAGGTGCTGCCGGCTCAGCCGGGCTTGCTCCTCGTAGTAGGGCTGCTTCTCCTGGTTCGTCATGGATTTCCACCGGGAGCCTGGGGGAGAGAGGAGCCACGGGACCTGCTGACACCCTGCCTGCTGTGGGAAACCCACACCAGCTCCCGGCTGGGATAGTCATCACAGGAGTTAATTAATGCTCATAGAATCATAGAATGGTTTGGGTTGGAAGGGACCTTAAAGACCATCCCATCCCTGGGCAGGTGGCTCCAAGCCCCCTCCAACCGGGCCTTGAACCCCTCCAGGGATGGGGCAGCCACAGCTTCTCTGGGCAACCTGGGCCAGGCTCTCCCCACCCTCACACCAAAGAATTTCTCCCCGAGGTCTCATCTCAATCTCCCTTCTTTCAGTTTAAAAGGTCTCATCTCAACCTCCCTTCTTTCAGTTTAAAACCATTCCACCTTGTCCTAGGGCTCTACTCCCTGATAAAAGTCCTCCCCATCTCTCCTGTAGACCCCCTTTAGGGACTGGACCAAGAACATGGGAGCCCCTTGCCCGTGGTGTCCCCCACCGCCTCCTTCCCCACTCGCTCAGCCCCACACACCAACCTCAGCCCCACATTTCCATCAGCAGGAGAGCACACAGGAACCAACCCCCCCACCCCACACGCACACACCTGGGTGCGTACGGGCTCTGGACCACTCGTCCATCTGCTAAATTTGGACCCCTCGAGCGGCGAGTGGCCCCGGTCCCCAGGCAGAACCACACGGACATCCTATTTTAAGCCACGGACACCCACCGTGACAGCGAGCAGCTCACCGCAGAGCTCCCGCTCCCGGACCCCCCCCTTCCCCGGACCCTGTGGTCGCTCCTTCAAAGGGAAAAGCTCGACGGGTTGTTTTGTTGGGGTTTGTTGGGTTTTTTGTTGTTTTTTTTTTTTTTTTTTTTTTTGTTCCTTTAACGAGCAGAAAGAAACGAGCTGCTAAATCGAGGCGGTGGCAGAGCGAGGGGTGAGCGTCGGATGGGAACCCACGGCGCCGCCGCCGCGCGCTCGCTCCTGGCCCTTCCGACGGGCTCGTTAGCGACCGCACCGCTCGCTTTTAATAGCTTTTAATGGCTTTTAATGGCCACGGGGAAGGGCTGGTGTGACCGAGAGCCGCAGCAGGACCGCTGCTGTCAGGGGAGGGGGTGAGAGACGTCGCCTGGATGAGGCTCGTGCTGCTACAGGCACCTGCAAGGTCAATGGCATCCTGGGGTGCATCAAGAGTGGGACCAGCAGGTCAAGAGAGGTCATCCTGCCCCTCTGCTCTGCCCTGGGGAGGCCCCATCTGGAGCACTGGGACCAGTTCTGGGCTCCCCTGTTCAAGAAGGACAGGGAACTGCTGGAGAGGGGACAGCAGAGGGCTGCAGAGATGATGAGGGGCCTGGAGCATCTTCCTTACGAGGAGAGGCTGAGGGACTTGAGACTTTTTAGTCTGGAGAAGAGAAGGCTGAGGGGGGATCTGATCAACACCTATAAATACTGAAAGGGTGGGTGTCAGGAGGATGGGGCCAGTCTTTTTTCAGTGGTGCCCAGGGACAGGACAAGAGGAAATGGGCACAAACTTGAACATAGCAGGGAGGTGGTGGAGTCTCCTTCTCTGGAGACATTCAAACCCACCTGGACACGTTCCTGTGGGACCTGCTCTGGGTGGCCCTGCTCTGGCAGGGGGTTGGAGGAGATGATCTCCAGAGGTCCCTTCCAACCCCATGTCATTCTGTGATTCTGTGATGCTACAGCAAGGGGAGCATCATCCTGGTGGGCATCACCCATACGTAGGAGGATGAGGATGAGTGGAGTGAGCAGCTGGGCCCTCCGTGGGGATGCAGAGGGGGGTCCTGCCCCAGCCCTTCCCCCCACCCCCAGCACTCACCCAGGATCTTGCTGATGCTGGAGTTGTGCATGTCTGGGAAGGCCTGCAAAATCTTCCTCCTCTCGTCCTTCGCCCACACCATGAAGGCGTTCATGGGCCGCTTGATGTGGTTGTTGTTCCTGGACTCGGGGAAGTGCCGTGAGCCTGGAGGGGAAAGCACCGGCCGAGGTCAGGAGCCAGAGGACAGAGCAAGAGGTGGTGGGGGTCACACCAGGGTGCTCTCAGATGTCCTTACCGTCCATCTCACAGGTCAACAGAGCCTCGTCCAGCCGGTGAGCAGGGGTCTCCTCCATCCGCTCCTTCACTGGGGAAGAATCAATCCCACCGTGGTCCTGCAGGAGAGCGGAGGGTCATCAGGAACCAGCTCCAAGCCATGGAGCCCACGTGGATGGAGACCCAGCTCTGACACCTGACAGTGGGGTCAGAGAAGGGGATGGTGACCGCCCCGTGGGGTCTCCTTACCTTGCGGTAGGGGTTGCTCAGGGACCCCTCCATGGCTCCACTGTGGCCGTGCAGGAGCTGCCGCGCGTCCTGGATGGCTTTGGTGATGGCGTCGCCTTCACCAAGGAACCCTGGCAGGGCAACAGCACCCATCAGCACCAGCGCCCACTCCTCCGACACCCCACAGCACCCCATCCCACCCCAGAAATCACAACTGTATGTGCCAAGGGGGTGGGCACAGAGCAGCAGGTGCCCACCCAGGCAACCCCAGGGAGCAGAGATGTCCCCTGTCTCTGGGAGGTGGCCATGGGACCCTCAATCAGTGAAGGCACTTGGGAACCCACCCAGAGGCAGGTTGGACGGGCTGGTCTGCAGGTCCCTGGTGGCCCCGTGATTCGGCGTGAGGGACTGGCAGCTGCTCATCTTCAAACTGGGCGAGCTGGAGGCACTGGGGAGGTCGGAACCTTTGGGTTTGGCCGTCAGGTTCAGCGGCTGCGAGGTCTCCTGTGGTGGAGGGGAGGAGGGGGGGGGGTGAAGTGCAGCCCCCACAGCACCCCAGCCCGGGGGATGGAGGTTCCTTGGGGCTGTACCTGCATCTGGAGGTGGCCCGAGCCGGCGGGTCTCTTCAACGTGGGAGGAGGGGGGCTGTGAAGCAGCTGCACTGGGTAATCCACTGCGGGGAGCAGAGGGAGAGGGGTTGGGGGGGACAAGGCCACCCCACAGGGCTGGGACAGTCCCCGGGGGAACCCCGCTCACCTGGTTTGCAGGGGATGGGCTGGATGGGCAGCGCTAACTGGGAGTCGGGGGTGACGGGGAGAGGCTGGTGGCTGGGGGTGGAGGCAGGAATCATGACGTAGGGCAGGGTGACCTGCTGGAGGGGAGATGGGGGGGCGGGGGGAGAAGCAGAGAGACCAGACAACGGCTGTGGGACACTGCAGGGAGGTGCCA